TACCTAAGTTTTATCTGTTAGAACTCAAAATTTGTAATTGTTAAGGTTAGTGTTATTCGAACAAGAGTACATAATTATGTACTTTAAAAGAAACCCAACATTCCTGAAGTTGCCTAACATTCTGAAAACCTAGTACGTATCCTTTTCATCTGTCGATCGCCTTCACCCGAGTCCTGCTTGCATTTTTGCTTGGACGACCAGACTTTTTTGTAGCAGGCTCCGAAAACAAATCGGCCATGGGGTCGAAAAACTCAGCCATGGAACCGAAAACTCTAGAAAACCGCATCTGAAATCCGTTCACAGGGATATCCCGCGTCTTCTGCGTAATAGTATGAAGTTTCTTCTTCTCAATCCGCATCTGTTCCTTTAGGTCTGTTTCCTGCAAAAAAACTCTCCCTCCCGAGTCTTCTGGCAAGCTTGTCAGCCTCCCTCTTTTGTCGGCGCTCCTTATGTTGTTGATCCCTCAGGCCCGGACATCTTTCACGAAGCTTTTGATGGCACAAGTCACTGCTTGATATGGCAGCTTATCTAGGCCATTTGACCAATGCCGACAGATTGCAAGCGATGACAGGTTAAACCCCCTCTGATTTTAACTTGCTTTCAGTTTCAACATCATCCAACTTAGCTAGCCAGCGGTCTAGAGCTTTGACGTACGCCTTTTGCGAATAAACATACGAAGCAAAGCGTGTACGCCAATTTAGAAGTTCCTTTTCGAGCTTCCGAGTAGCAACCTGGTTCGAGTCATTGCAGAGCGTTCTATTGGACGGACATTTGAGAAAGTTCACTTCGGACATTATTCTCTTTTGGGTTTCCAGAAATTCAGACATTTTCTTCTAGTTGCTCATTATGCTGCAGAAATTGAGAAAGAGAGGTTAGAACAAAATTCCAACACAAAAAAAAAAAAAAAAACGAGTAAAACTATGAAATCTAGATTACCTTTTTAACAACTTAACGAGTTGTGGTTGCAGCTCTTCATCTCTCGTTTTTCGAATGGTTTCGGAGATTGATTTAGCATTCTTTTTGGCCATCAAAAATCTGCAATACAAGATTTCAATCTCGTATATTTTGGTGTCTAGTTCTTCCGATTTTCGGTTATAAATTCTCTCGGCTTCCTCTATTACCTTCTGCTCGCTGTAGAGGTTTTCCTCCAAAGCATATAGCTTTCCTAGCGTTAACGAATGGCTTGGAGTTCCATTGACATCGAGGAAACTAATATCTAAAAGAGCCCGTGTTGAAGAACTTCTTAAGCTAGATTCACGTAGACTTTTATGAGAAGAAGACCAAGACAATGTAGATGAGATGGAGTGCCTCCGCGTCATTGAACGGAGATTACCTTTAATTTCCTCGGCTGCAGATTTCACCTGAGCCATGCCGGTCTCTAACATCCTCGAAACGTGCAAACTAGAATCATACGCCAGACGGGAGTAGTCTTCTACATCTTTCAATGCTTCCAACAGTTCTTTCTCTCTACCCTTTTCATTACTTATCTTTGATGAGCGGATTTTATAGTATATATTTAACCCTGTTCTTGGTATATTTTGGTTAATATTTTGAAAGAATTTTGATACTTTGAATTGTTTTTCTAATTTAGGACTTTCGACTTCCTCTGGAGAAAAACATAGTTAAATGGACGAATTTTGGAGTAATTCTAGTTGGAGGATGTTCGTGAGTCACTTGGCTTGATCGTATCAAAATATCAGAATTTTCTACCAAGCGGTTATTTTCTGGCGATAAAATAAATGAGCAGTGCACAGTGCTGGAATAGTGACGTTTTGGGCTTGAATTGCATTTTTGAAGTCCAAGATGACCTCGGATGGGTTTGTGGCCTTCTGGAGATGTGTTCAGAACGTCCCGATCTTTAAAACAAGCCATTATGGGCCGGATTTGGAGGATTTCTGAGGCTAAAACGTGGCTGGACAGTTCCCTTGCAGTTTTTCCTAGTTTAATTAGGACCTTGTTTTCTAAGTATTTTATTTTATTATTTACTTCCCTAGTTGGAATAAGAGACCTATGTTTTAGGGTTTGCAGGGGGCTCAGCAATTATATTGCTTGGCCGTTCTTAAATAGAGGGGGGAATTTTTGATGATTTTGGAGAGAAAAAGAGTGATTGCTAGGGTTTGTGGATATTTTCTACTTTAAGGTGTTTTCATTCCTTTAACTCATTTGAATGATATTTCCTTTGATTTTTATTACGAGTATGCGTAACTAATTCTTTTGCTAGGGTTAGGCCATGAACCGTAGCATGAATATGTAATTTTATTAATTTGCTTATAAATGGATGCATGTTTGCTTTGAATTATTAATCACCACGATTAAATCTATCTATATATTTTAATGATTGATCACCATTAGGGTATTTAGACAAGTTATTTGATGCAATTTCTGTTGGAACATCACCCTGAAATTGAGGAGGGCTTCTTGTGATTAGTAATTGTAAGTTCACTCAAGGCGAACATCACGCTCTTAAGGGTTGCATGGTTTTTCAAAGGGTTTTCACGAAGTTTAATGAGTCTTGCATGTTTATATTTAATCTGAACATCACAGACGGATTGCATGTTAGATATACGTTTTCGCTTGAACATCACAAGGAAAATATGCATTAGGAAAACCTGACCTTCAAAGCATGGATGTGGAAATTTATAAGTAATTGATAGAATTGCATAGGATTGTAACGGTGACGGCTTAACCCTAGTCTTTCCCTAAATTGTTTTATTAAAAAACGTTTTTTCTGTTTGCTGCCTTTATTTTCTAACTTCTAGGTTCTTTAATTGTTAATTCAACATTTTCGAACTCAAAAATCTCAAATCTTTGATAAAAATCTGTTTCAATAGTTAATTAAGAGTTGATTTAATTATGAATTAATCAAACAATCTTTATGGACAATGACCTTACATGAGCAATTATACTACAATTACCTTGTATTCTTGCAAGTATTTTCAGTGATTTTAACCTATCTTTACCTCCTCTTTTCTATCACCGTCACCATCGGAGCAATCGGAATCTCCCCGTGGTGACTGCACTGTTTGATCCACCTCCTCTTGTTCCTCCTCTGTCTCAGCACAGTGTGATTTTTCCTGCAGCTCGTTTCCTCTGGCTGCATTTTTAAGAGTGCGTAGAAACTTCGAAAGAACGGCTTTCTATAAACAACTTTATAGCCTCCGCTACTTCAAGGAGCGCGAGAATATGCTCGCGCTGTGCATCCGCAAACGCGTACCTGTTCATCTTCACTGATTTCATCAAGTCCTTTCTATTCGCATTGTCTTGCTTACTCTTCGAGCCAGCCGAACCCATGTCTCGACTTACAAGTTTTTCGCGGCCGGGAAATTAAGAGCTCGAGAAACAGTTGGTGTTGTTTGTGTTTGTTCATGGTGGCGGGAGGGAGGGTGTTGATTTATAGTAGTGCGTAGAAATCCATGTCTAAACAGGTAATTGACATGGTTTTCCCATCCAAAAGGGTAATTTCCTACTCTTTTTTAGTAATCCCACGGCAAGTAGGGAAACTATTTCCCTTTTTTTTTTTTTTTCCTTGGCCTGAAGGGAAAAGTGCTTGCGCGGGCAAAGAACAGGAAACGGGGGCCGAAACCATGTCATTTTACCGTCACTAAAAAGAAATTGACGACATGCCATGTTTGTGCTTGGTTTTAAATCACTCAACATAGAAGACCGAGAAGGTCTCACACTCCAACATTCTTAAATCACCAAACTTTGAAAAAGTCATTTGGAGTTTAAGATCCTTCACTTGTTTGTCATGTAGAATTCTGAGTTTGTCCCATACTTGTTTTGTGGTGGTGCAATAACGCGTATGTGCAAACTGATTTGGTGAGATGGCCAAGACAATAATATTATGTGCCTTTCTATTAGCCATGGCTAAAGAAATCTCCCCTTGAGTCCAATTTCTTTTAGCCTTAATCACAAATTCTTCATCAACAATCCTTGAATAAGCTTATCAACAACATTCAGATCAAGTGCTTCCATAAAGATTTGAAACTTCTCACTCCCCCAAGCATAGTTTGTTCCATCAAAGAACAGAGGAGAGTTGCAAGATCCAGCAACGCGATCACGATCCATGGTGAGACTCCACCCAATATTAGTAATACCGAGAGACCACTCTACATACATCTAAAGCAAGGTTCTGATAACACGTGAAATTGGTATCGGGTGGAATATCCTGCAATTAAAAATCTATATATGTGCTTGTCTAACTAGTCAACAACACCAGTCAACTAAGATCAGATATGTTAGTTTACTAACAGCAAAAGTAGTTAGATATGTTAGTTTACCAACACCAGAAGTAGTCAATTTAAAGTTTGGTTTAATGAAGTGTTCCTGGTTAACTAAGATCCAGTTTAATGCACATTTTAACTCTAACAAGCTTAGTTTCATGGACTTATATATTTGCAAATAACGATGAACATATATCATATGTAAAGAGTAAGATATGTAAACTAGAAAAGCAATAAACTGCATAAGGAGTTTTTGGCTAGAAAAACCCACATCTGGCTTAAAAAACCGAGGACTCTCAATTGAATCTAATTCACTATTGCAAATAAGGTTCTTACAAAGTACAACACAAAGCTCAATTCCGAGACTAATCTACGAAGCAACTTTACCTTTATGCAACCTTACTTTGCTCGAGAAGAGGATTCCTTCGGTCTTCAAGAAGTAAAGCTTCTCCTGAGCTCTTCATCTTGTGGTACCAAAACCAAATCAACCAAAATGCAAATGATGTTATGATGGGGCTGATGCAGATCTGGATTCATTGACCAGTTAATTTCTTCAGTTAAATACTTGAAGGAAGAAACTGACATGAATAAAAAAAGGTTAGTTTAAATATTTGAAAATTGAAAAACTTGACCACAAACTTAAAACAAAATCACAAAGACAATGCTACCCTAATATGTAACAATTTGGGTATTTAGTGCATGAATGTGATTTTATGGCTAAGGTTTCTAATGAAGAACACAAGAGGCAGCTCAAAGCTAAAACGCACTATCTTCTGGAAATGCAAATCACCTAGCCAAAAGAAATTGAACGATGCAGAGAAGATTAGCACGGCCCCTACGCAAGGATGACACACATGAATCCAAAAATGGTCCAAATTTTAGCTAATCTAACATCTAATCTAACAAAATCTATCGTTTGACAAAAAAAAAACCCCTAGATTTAGCTTTTAAAGAGGGTTGAGTTTCAAACAAGAAAGGGGACCAAACAACCACATGTTATGTGCAAAAGCAATCTGGAAAGATCTAGGGTCAAAAATCCACTCTCGGGAAAAAGTTGACAGATGGTCCATGTGGGTTGTCTTAAAGTGTTTGCCCATTTCGCGTGAAAGCAGCGAGAAGTATTGACAAGATAGAACCACTAGACATAATGAATTGGAAATATTAGCATGAAATGCATATGTATGAACAAACCTTTGATGTAAAAGTTAAGCTCTTGAGAAAATATTTCCAACGGTAAGATCCCAAAAATGACATTTGAACCCTAAATCTATCTAGAGTATGTGTAGTACAATTTACAAGATTTGACAAGAAAAGCCAAACAATAATTCTAGACTTCACAATAAGACTCTTTACAAATTAAAAAGGAAAGAGATTGAGTTTCATTATCCTTGAAGCTCTTCCTTGATTACACAAGGCATTCACCCAAGTAGAAGGCCTTCAAGTTCACTCCAAGATACTGATGCTTCATGTGTTTGTGTTATTCTCTTCTTGGATGGTTTCTTCTTTACTTCTCCTGACTCCTTGAGGATGTGAGGAAAGGATCTCCAAAAGCACCAAAAGTTTGGTGCCTTTAAGTCTCCACACCAAGAATATGTGATGAAGAAAAGATAGATGAACTAAGGAATGATTTGATGCTAGTAAACCATCCTAAGTATGGGCGACCTCTTTGTAGAGAGAGAAAGAGACAAAGAGAGTATGTTTCACTTTTTGCCTTAAAGAAACCTTAAAGAGGATATGGCTATAAAGTTGTTTTTATACCATCTCACAAGTCAGTGGCAAACTTGTAATAAGCCAACTATCACCCTCGGTTTTAGCTTATTAGTGGGTTAATTTCCATTTAATTTTTAGTTGTCAAACAACTTAAACTCAATATGACTTGTGGACCAAAACCCTTTTAGGCCATGAACCCCAAAACTAACATAAAGCCCAATACAAAAGTTTTCATATGATTAATTAACAAATTAATCAATCATGACCATGCTCAAATAAACTATTTAATTGTTTATTCATCTCATTTATATTTCCTCACATTCATCCTTACCCAGTGTAGATCCATTGAGTTCCAATTATCGAGGCATTAGGCAATTGTTACTCTTAACGATCGATTGTGAATTGCAACCACATTTCAATTCTCTTTTTGAAGAAGATTAGTGATTGCTAATCTTGAGGACTTCCACAAACCATAAATGACACCTAACCGTATGTTACGGCTACTCAAGCTAAGTAAAAATGGTTGGAGACCTATCCAGTTACGACTATAAAGCTATACAGTTATTCTCTAATTCAATACTCTTGATCACATTGTTTAAATGATAGATTGTTTCATGTCTACTATCAAATATGATACTTCTCTATAAGGTTGTATTGAATATGATTTGGAATATACTTCCTACGTCATATTCATATGTTTTGGCCAAAGACTCTTTAATCATATCTTAGAGTATTCCCCTTCCACCATGGAAGGTTAGAGATCCCTTGTCATACATTCACATATCTACATGACTAGGCAGCTGGACCTCAACAATGTCATGGATACCCTTAGTGGAATGCCTTTGACATAGTCAAATGTCAAGGACCTAACCACTAGTAAACTATGATGCATCAAGTCAAATGACTAATTTTCATTATTGTAACTTATGAGTTCTTACATGATATGTATTTTAGAGCTCACTTTTGATCATTGTTCAATGGACTCAACAACCTTTTGAGCACCTATGTATTTGCCTCAATGTCCAACATTAAATGACTTGAGACTAGTCATACTCCTGCTTGAGTTAACATTACACATACTAACCTAAGCAGATTGCCAATGCCTAATTGACAATTCTATGGCTAGGAACGTTTTAGGAATGAACATAAGAGAAAGGTCTTGTTGATCTAACTTACTTAGATCACTTATTTCTTAGGGTGATTACATTCCTTGGATTCTATTATTGATTGTACACATGATACTATAAATAGTGATTAGGAGGCCGAAGGAGTAAACCTCCCTCGGTGGCTTTATGGGTTAGGAGGCTAAATGAGTAAACTTGCCTCATTGGTTTTATGGGTTAGGAGGTCGAAAGAGTAAACTTCCCCTACAATGACGCCCTAGTTATCTCTTCCAATTGGCCCATGCCATAGTCAATAGAATAATGGTGGACAACGGCAGCGTAGTCAACATTCTTCAAACTTAATGTACCACGACCAAGTTTAACTCGTGGTAAAAACTATTCAATTACCACGACCAAGTTTAACTCATGATAGATAACATTAATGTTCCACGGTCAAATTTTGACCCGTTATTAAAAGCGAATAATCTGCAACGGACATTTAAATCCGTAATGGAATATCATAATTACCATGACATATGCTTGTAGTGGTTACTTCAAACTATCGCATCGTCTTTTGTGAATTCACCACACTTTTGGCCCGTAGTGGATGTTTTTATGTTCATAATTGAGAACATTTGGAAGAGGCGGGAGACTAAAAATTTAGAGGTCTGCCAAAATTTTGGCATAGCGCCCAAAATCTCAACTCCTTATTTTCAAAGAGAACGCGTTAGCTCTCCCTCCTGTTCATTTCTCTCTCGCAGCTTCTCTGCTTTTCCTCTTCAGAAATTTCCAAAGCCTCCACCTCTGCATACCCGATCCGATTTGGGTTCGGATTCATATGGGAATTGGTAGGATGCAGGTCTCGATGCGGGTATGGCGACGGTGTTTATGCTTACAAAGATGATAAGGTAGAGCCATATGGAGCTCGCGGCACCGCACCTAAGTCGTCAAGTTCGACTTTGTTCGATGATTACGGGAGGTCGATCAGTGTCCCATCCGGGAAAACTACACCGGCGAGCTCGAACAAGATCGTCCGGGCAATACCCAAGGCCGATACCCAAGAAGACGCGAAGAGTGGGGTGCAGAAGTTTCGGGTCAAGCTGTTAGCTGAAAGTGGAGGGCAGAGCACTGTGGATGTCCTTTGCTAGGTATGAACAAGGAGATACTGTGTTCTATATAAGTAAAATTTTAACTTTAATTAGAAGCATATAACTTGTTAGTTTCTATTGTGTTTATTGGGATTGGATTTTCACATTGTTAATTTTCACTTGTGATTGTGTTGTTGTGGGAACAGATTAGTTCTGCTATGTCGTTCACTGTGATTTCAACAACTTAACTTTGTAGCTTAGGTTACAACTGTAATTGGGAGCCTTGGCAGAAGAGATCATGTGTTCACATAACTGTTACTCTAAAGAAATGGCAAATAGGGACTCGATGCTACTTAGAATTAGAGCACTATGGCCTCTTAGTCTATGTTGGAATGGATTACCAAGGTAAGAGTTATAAAAACACCGCCTTGGACTCACGTATTTTTGAAATGCATATTATCATGCAGCTGTTTCTGGTATTCCTCGAGATGATCATCTTTATGTTGGTTTAAAGTATGGATAGTGTTTAGAATGCCATCCATTGCTCTTGTTTAGTTCCTTCCCCCTGCTTTCTTTCAAATCTTTCCTATTGATTTGTTAAGATTTGCCGATACTAAATTCTATATCATATTGGTTTGGATGATATTCGTATGCTTGATCCTGCTACCAGTCGGACGTTGAGAATATATCCCCTTGACAACGTTACAAGATGTGATGTAAGTTCATTTTACTTTAGCATCAAGTTCGTTAAGGAACTTTTAATTTATGTATTGAGGTAAAAGTAATTTGTATGTTTATTTTTCTTCTCATGCAGAAAACTGACTCATCTACCTTCGCCTTTTGGTCAAAGAGCTCTGTAGATATTGAGCCAAGGCATATTAGATTGCAGTCAAATAGTTACACGGCCAACACCTTTGGGATACAGTGACTGCTACAACTGTACATGTTGGAAACTTGGGAATTCTGCCTTTCCCCTTGTCCTAAAAAAATAATGGTCCCCCTTATTTATTGACAACATGTGATTAATTAGGGCCTAGGTGATGTTTTCCTTGTTTCTGCTCCTGTAATTTGACATGTTGTCATGTAGTAAGTATAAACATTGATACTTGTTTTGAGATGTATGTGATGCTTTGGTTCTATGTGAAAATTACTGAAGGTGGGCTAGATTAATCATTTTGTGTTTCAGTTATATTTGTGTTCATTTTGAGTAGGGTGCTAAACTACAGGGATTGACTTATGTGTCTGAACTTTTAAACTCGGGCCTGTATTTCATATTGATCAAATAGGCATGAGTAGTGTACTTACATGAGGTGTATAGTGTTTTGTTGTGAAGGAACACCATCTAATTTCTCTATGCAAAAGGACATGAATATCAAATGTATTCCTTCAATGCATAATCTCTAATGAACTCTCTATCATTCATTTTGCAAACTTACTGACATTTGTTATCAACGTTTGTTTGGCCCTATTATTTTGAAAATAGAACTATGAGCTTACCGTGTGTTTATGCTGACATTATGATTGGATGGTTATGTCTTTATTAAATTATATGCTTTTATTGAAGATCTGAATGATGCATAATATGGTCATGTTTATGTCCACAAGACTGTTTAATCTTATCACAGAGATTTTGAACGTTGATTATTTTTAGTGATGTATTGTTCTTACCCCTTGTTACTCAACTTAAGGAAATGGGTGGATGAATCAGGCCAACGGAATTGGTAAGGCCAAGCGAACAGACCGGGAAATGTGGAGAAATATCATTGGGTAATATTAACTTGCCTTCCTTCCACTTTTGTTCATTTCAATAGAATGATATAAACGTGGTAGTGCTCTATATGTCTCCATGTACACCTTTCAATAGAGGATATGGTTGTTGCAGTTCTTTTGGGAAGTAATAAAATAATCTTGTTCTACTCTTTCTTATTTCGTTACTGTTGTTTTTAGGTCCCCGATGAGGCAGTTACAAAATGCACGGTCTATGGGTCAGATTTTGGGGCTTTATGTCCACAAAACTAATTTTGTTTAACTTGTCTCGATGTCTTCAACTGAAGAAATAGAATCAACAAATCCTGAGGCGAAAGTTCATCACATGGTGCTTGGTCTTGATTGTTGGAAAGTTTGGGTAACTGTTGTCAGGGTAGAGAATATATCTTTGTACCGCCCTACAAGTGAATTTTGTGTCCTGGAGGATGCTATATCTAGTACAATTGCTTGGCCATCAAATTACGTCTGCGTTGGAGAGTAATTTTAGTTCGTACTTAATTAGACTAGAAAATGGTACTTTGGCACTACATGGATAGTACTTTATGACTTCCGTTGTTTATGTATTCATTAGGCACTATATGGATAGTACTTTATGACTTCCATTGTTTATGTATTCATTTGGAAACTCAAGTATTTTTAAATTATGTTATAATATTATCAAGTATTTTTTTATGTAGTTATTATATTTTAGTAAATATGCAATTTTGTTGGTTATTTTGTACTAAAATATATAAATACAAATATATTTGTTAAATAGTTTTATTTTTTTTTAATTTTGGAAAATAATTTATAATGGGCATTAGCTGTGGTCAATTAGTAATCGACAACTGCCATAGCACGTGGTGTTAGATCTCAATCTATCACGGGTACAATCCGTGGTTATTTTGCATTTGACAACGGGCATAGCCCGTAGTAGAAAATGAGACTTTTTGTCACATCTAGAATACTAACAGAACATAATATCCGTGGTGGATTACAATTAATTATGGGCATTCACCGTGAGAGACGAGCTTTTTTATTCTAATGAAGTAAAAAAATTTAGTATAATAAACACACATTTATTCATAACATCAGCTCATCACGTCTGAAATTCTGAAACACAATTACTTAATAGGTTTTATGACAAGTGGTCCTTGGAGCATATGATATAACCTTCTTAGTCTAAATGACTACTTTATTCATTCTTGGAGAGCGCGCTTGCTTCAAACCCTGCATACTCACCACAAAACCGAGACGAAATAAAATTTCAATTCATACTCTGAGGTTAATTATGATGAATTTTATTAACTAAAAGGAAAAAAAAAATTATATAGATTGGTGTGTGTGTATATACACACACACACACACACGTGTGCGCACGCTTACTGGGTATAACGAATCTTGATTTTTCCGGCGTTGGGGTCAGCAATTGCAGCAAAGGCTTCTTGAGAGAGATCGATGGTTCCTCGGCATCCGGGAGGACAGTAATCCACAATTTTTACGACAACGCTATTCCCCTTGCAAGGCTGTGGCACACCTTGGTTGGTGGCTCCGATGCATGTCACACTGTAGCGTCTTCCACACGCAGCTCTGTTGCCCCAAATGGCATCGCTTGCTGCCGCTATCATCACTCCATCATTTTGGTATCCGTTGCACGAGGATGCTGCACGTCCACCAAACAATACATGCATAATTAAGGGCATGCATATATGTTGCCAGTTTTGGCATATAAAAATGAATACGAAATGATCTCCTAAGCGCAATCAATAATAAACGAGTTGGGTTAGTGCCAAACTCGGTAACCCAAATTTTGACACGATTAACACGTTTACTAGTATTATATGCAGAACCTGATTCACTTCTCCAAATATTAGTATGCAATGTATGACATTTATGTAATTATGAAGCTAAATTTTTTAATGGTTTTTTTAAGGGTTCTTGATCAAGTTAAATGTGATTTTAGAATTAACATGAATAAGTAGATTTAGATAAATAAAAAAAAGATACAGAAATTAGTCATAGGTTTACATGTCACAAGACAAGATATATGGGTAAGGTTAACCTAAACATCACAACATATTTACAAACGAGTTGAGTCCTTCGACATGAGTAGTTGAATAAGCCGGGTTAATTAACATTGATTATTTATTTACACGATTACAAAATGATATGACTACATATACACAAAAGGTAAATTATTTTTACCATCTATTTCTATCATCTCTCTAAATGTGATGGGATCTACATTTGTTAATGTGCCCTACCTCTATTAGAGTAATACAAATAGATTGTAAATGTAGCACTACTCAAAATTTGAACTCTTCTATACATACATATATCTATGTACCAAAATGTTTGTTGAGCATAAGATGTTTATGGTTCTAGACAGACTAGAATATAATTTTATCTTATTCTTGGACCCTAAAAATTGTACGCTATTTCAGATTGATCGGTTTAAAGATAAGAACGAGCTCCGAAGGCTGATTGGTACGTACATAAGAATTAATACCAATAGGAGCATCGACATCGTAAGTTATGTACGAGCCACCAATTCTCCTCACCATGGCAAAACTAGCAGTGTACAGAACACCAGTTTCTCAATGAGGAACTAATTTAGATTGTGATCATACATTGAAAATGGTAAAATATATACTTACGAACATAAGGAGGTGTATAATAAGTGGCTGTTCCCTCGTCTGCGTATGCTGCGAAGGGAAGGCATATAAACATAGCCACCACGGCCACCACAATGAGAACTCGCGTCTCCATTCCCGTTTTGTCTCCTATAAAACAACTTGCTAGTATACTTTGTTTCCAGTGCACTACTTTGTAGGGCAAAATTAAAGGCTTCTGTGGGGAAAAACGCAAATGCTTTGCTCCATTTTATAGTGGAAACTTGGAAAGTCAATCGTCATGTTCCATGTGTCAATCAATCGTCATATGCGTCAGTTAATCGATTCGACCGAGAATGTCGCTCATTTTCCTCGTTCCCATTGAAATAGGCCACGTCAAGGCCCTCTCTTCCTCCAAATTTCCAGAGAGAAAAAGTTGGCTGGCGGTGGGAAGGCGGTTGCCATCGAATTGGGTCGGGTGACGTGGTTTTGAATTTCAATTTTTGTTTTCTGTAGGAAAATAGTTGAAAAAAATTGTATCAAGGACATTCTAGGAATAATCGTGGGTTTAAAAAGAGTATTATGTGTTTTTAACTTTTTTATGATGGGTGAGAATACAAGGTGGGTGAAAAGATAGCATTGAGGGGTGGGTGTAGTAGCACTCAAAATAAAACCCAAATTTAAAATAAACTATCATGTAAACAAATAAATACCTATATATTTTCAAAAAAATTATAATTGTGCCACAACACCCTAATTATGTTGATGAATTTAATTATCCACCATAATTATAACAAATAAGTGCTTTATTATTACAAAAGTATCTACTTTATACTTGTCTTACCATCATCTGTTCATTTCTTATATTTGTTTGACAATCATTGTAGGTAAATTATTTTGCATGTATACATTAGGAATATTTTGTTGTTATTATATCTGTGTGAAATAAATTACCTATATTTTTAAGTAGAATATAGGTAATTAATTAACTTTGAATCAATTCACTAAAAGCATCCTTTTATTTTGTGGGTAAATAATTTTGCATATATTATTACATGTACTAGGCACATTTGTTATTATTATGTGTTGTTTGCAATCAATCAACATTCATTTGTTTTGTAGGTAAATTACAAAAGTATCTACTTTATACTTGTCTTATCATCATCTGTTCCATTTCTTATATTTGTTTGACACTCATTGTAGGTAAATTATTTTGCATGTATACATTAGGCACATTTTGTTATTATTATATATGTGTGAAATAAATTACCTATATTTTTAAGTAGAATATAGGTAATTAATTAACTTTGAATCAATTGACTAAAAACATCCTTTTATTTTGTAGGTAAATTATTTTGCATGTATTATTACATATACTAGGCACATTTGTTATTATTATGTGTTGTTTGCAATCAATCAACATTCATTTATTCCGTAGGTAAATTATTTTGCATGTATTATTACATATGTTAGGCACGATTTGATATTATTATTATATATGTGACATCCCACATCGCCCAGGGAAGTGATCCTTAAATGTATATTCCCATCCTTACCTAGCACGAGGCCTTTTGGGAGCTCACTGGCTTCGGGTTCCGTAGGAACTTCGAAGTTAAGCAAGAATGGGGCTAGAGCAATCCCATGATGGGTGACCCACTGGGAAGTTGCTCGTGAGTTCCCAAAAACAAAACCGTGAGGGAATGGTAAGCCCAAAGCGGACAATATCGTGCTACGGTAGTGGAAGCGGGCCCGGGAAGTGATCCGCCCCGGGTCGGGATGTGACAATTTGGTATCAGAGCCTAACTCTGGTCGCGTATGTGCCGATGAGGACGTCGGCCCCTAAGGGGGGTGGATTGTGACATCCCACATCGCCCAGGGAAGTGATCCTTAAATGTATATTCCCATCCTTACCTAGCATGAGGCCTTTTGGGAACTCACTGGCTTCGGGTTCCGTAGGAACTTCAAAGTTAAGCGAGAAGGGGGCTAGAGCAATCCCATGATGGGTGACCCACTGGGAAGTTGCTCGTGAGTTCCCAAAAACAAAACCGTGAGGGAATGGTAAGCCCAAAGCGGACAATATCGTGCTACGATGGTGGAGCGAGCCCAGGAAGTGAATCCACCCCGGGCCGGGATGTGACAATTTGGTATCAGAGCCTAACCCTGGCCGCGTATGTGCCGACGAGGACGTCGGGCCCCTAAGGGGGGTGGATTGTAACATCCCACATCGCCCAGGGGACTGATCCTTAAATGTATATTCCATCTCTACCTAGCACGAGGCCTTTTGGGAGCTCACTGGCTTCGGGTTCCGTAGGAACTCCGAAGTTAAGCGAGAAGAGGGCTAGAGCAATCCCATGATGGGTGACCCTCTGGGAAGTTGCTCGTGAGTTCCCAAAAACAAAGCCGTGAGGGAATGGTAAGCCCAAAGCGGACAATATCGTGCTACGGTAGTGGAGTCGGGCCCAGGAAGTGATCCGCCCCGGGCCAGGATGTGACAATATATATATATATATATATATGCAAATAACTTAATTAACTTTTGAATCAAACAATATTTATTTATTCTGTAGGTAAATTATTTTGCACGTATTATTTTACCCAGAACTTATATTGTTATTTTATATATGTAAAAAATTGGTAATTTTGAATAAAATGTATTTGTGAAAAATACTAATTTACCTGTTACAATTATTTGAAAAGGAAAAAAAATGCTCATTTTTACATAAATGTGAAAACAACTATATAAGGAATCAAAACTCTAATATCATGTAATTTTTGTTATTAATATGCATTGAAATCATGACACTAAAATTTTTCTTTTCCAAATCTGCATAAACATTTCAAAACATTTAATTGTATGAAATAATATAAAATAAATGTAGATAACAGGTAATAGACCCAAAGTCAATGATATTAGGGGTAATCTAGACATCCAAAAATACCAATTTTTGCCAAGTCATACTTAATTATGGATATTTCTTAGTTGGAGCTTAGCCATTGGATTTTTTTAGAAAAATTTATAATTATGGGTTTTAGTTAATGAAAATTGAATTCTAAGAGGTATACTCATATTTTCAGTTGATTGTTTGATACACCAAAATTGTAGTATGAAAGGTCTACAAGGGCCCATAACATGAACAATGCTTGCATCTCCACAATACCTTTTCCACCCGCTTAACAACTAAACAATTTCAAATTTGATTGTTTTTTCTACACATACACACAATATTTAATAAGCGATTATGAAAATAAATAGTTTAATTATGAAATTTCTACCATGTAAATATATGTGTATCACGTAGGCAAATAAGGTGGTGCATCCATACGATGTACGCAAATATTATCTCCGTGACACTTCTCATATAAAAAAATTATAAACGATAATTTTCCGCTTAATATTGTTATATGTATCAAATTAATCAATTATATTTTTTCCTGTTGCACAGAGGTGAGATTCAACTAAAATTGGTTACGAATAAACACATATTTTTTCCTCTCAATACTCATTTAGTAACTATATATGTTTGCCCGTAGTTTAATATTCGTTTCAATTGAGGCATAGCAATTACATAAGATAAATGAAGAAGAAATGTTTCACACAGTTGTTAACTGCTGGTTGCAACCATAAGTGGTGGAGAGTTTTTTTGTCAAACCACTGATTTTTGGGTTCCAACTTCTCTCCCTTTAAAGTCTAACTTAGTGTCGTAACATTAAGTGTAGTAAAACTAAAAATAAAAAATAAACCATTAATTGCAAGCGGACCAAATTGGTGAATAATTTCTTTCTAATAATAATCTACTTTAAATTAATTTGAATGGTCAAGAGGAGACTCAAACTCAATATATAAGAAGAGTATTCCAACTTTTGGTGATGTGGCTACGTACCCTAACTTCTACTGTAATATAATAGCTAACACTGCACTGGACAGAATTTGGCTACTGAAAAAATCAGCAACAGCTCTTGCTGCTCACCAATCGTAGATGGACATGTGTCCAATTTATGATTACTTAAACACGTGTCTATCTATGATTGATGAGCAGCAAGAGCTGCTGCTGATTTTTCAACGGCCAAGCTCTGTTCCACTGCACTAGCATTGCGTGTGAATTTTATGACTAGAAGTTTGCCAGGATTATCCTCAATTCAAGTGGACTTGTTGATTTGAACTATTCTTGTCTTTATATATGAAGTCAGTGGCCTAATAAATAGTGTTTTTTGGTGTCACAAGCTTCATTAAAAATAATTGGACAAAAATGTCTCTCAAACAAAAAATTTTAAAAAGCAACCCAAAATAATGCCTCAAATGTGGCAGGAGTATTTTTGTCATTTTAACAGTGTTTTTTAATAATTAATTTTTTTGTGCAGTTTTTTTTTAGTAATTGGTATCTCATAATAGACTAGCAATAATATTATTTAATCAGTTGTTCATTAAATATTATTTTCTCTATTTTTAAACACGTTCAAAATATTTTAAGAGGTGTGTAATGCCGATTATAAAAAAAGGTCTTTCGCACACAGATAATAATGTGACTAAATTAGTTGTCAAATGATTTTTTTTTTTTTTGAACAAATGATATTATCTATACAAAGGGAGAGAGGGTGGACTTAGTCTCACAATGGGATAGCAATAATGTGATTCAATCAATTGTTTACTAAATATTATTTTCTCTATTCTTAATATAAATTCAATAGAGATCGATTTTATTATGTGGATTCAGTTGCTTTAATTGGTTTATAAAAGGTTTCTTCTAGCATGATTTAAGATTATTCATTTACTTCAAATATTTGACTTTCCTTTTGTCAATTTACTCATGTAAATACATTTAAAATATGTAAGTCACGCGTAACACTCCGTAATTCAAAAAATATCTTCTGCATGAGCATGTACGCGTGCATAAAGGCTAGTGGGTTATATAAAGCAGTTGCTACTGCTCGTATGTAGCGCGCTGTTTGGAAACCGACGTGTTTGTCCAGTAAACAAAGCAACTTATCTTCATTAGACACAACCCAATTGAAATGGTACTTTGATATTATTTCCTCTTAAAAACTAACTTGGAGGATAACTTGAAAAATTAAATACAATCATTAAATCTCACCATGTATGCTATCTTCAGTTCTCCAACACTGATATTTTTTTTTTCTTTTAGGAGAAGAAAGACAATTAGATTTAAAAGAAAAAAAAAAAACCCTTGATCATCAACTCATTGTCTTTCTTCTCCTAAAAGAAAAAAAATATATCAGTGTTGGAGAACTG